ACCCAATAACCTTTTCTAAATCTTTACTTAATCTACGACAAGGATTATAATAATTTATTATTCTGATATTTTGTTTCTCTGCATATACATCTATAACCACCACTTCATGTTCTTCAATCTCATTAATGACTCTGTATTCTAATTCATTTTTTATAAAAGTGGCCACCCCACCTCCATTACCTGTCTTTCTATCTTTTCTTACAATATTATATCCTTGCAGAACAAAATTTAATTTAGGTTTTAACCATGTTTCTTGTACACAAATTATGTTTGGTTTCTTATTTAAAAGATCTATAAACTTTTTAAATTCTGGACCATTTGCTATAAGACTTCTGGCATTCCATTGCAGAATCGTTAAAAGCATTATTATTATTATTATGTACTTCCATATGTTGTTTGAGTACTAGATTGAGTCTTTAGCATGTCATTTATTTTTTCCAACGTTACACCTGCTACATTCAAGTATCTCTCAGCTGCCCTTATTTTGATTTTAATTCTCTCCGTTCTGCTTTCTGTTTGAGCAGAACAATTTACCACTTCAGCCATAAATGAAACAAATTCCATTTTCCCGATCACCAAACTATCCTCTTTTGTCTTTCTCTGAGCCACAGTATTCCCAGTCCATTCTTGTATTTTTATCTCTCTCTGTATCTGTTCGTTTTGTTTTGCTTTTTGGGCTGCTTCAGCATAAGTCAACCCCTCAGTTATTCTCACATTTTGAATTTTCACAGCATGTTTGTGAGCAATGCATCCCCCAAATCCAGCACTATGCTCACCTCCACAGTTGCAGCATTTTGCCTTCGCTCCTTCGCCACATTTACCATATACATGATCACCCCCACATCTCGCACAACGTTGTCTTCCTCTACAAACTGCACTAACATGTCCATACTTCTGGCACTTGAAGCATCTAAGTGGAGGAGGTACGTATGGTCTTACTGGATAACTTACATATCCTATTTTTACCCTCTCTGGCATTCTTTCTTCATCAAACTGAAGCATAACCGATAGACTGTCCATCCTTTCTTTATTTCTCACATATTGAAGCCGTTTTGCTCCATTACCTTCCCCCCCTTCAACGCAACTTTTAATTTTATCAGCATGTACATCAGTAGGAATTCCAGTTATTACGCCTCTAACCCAAGGCTTCGTCTTCATCAATGTGCATGATACCGAGTATCCAAGCATCGAATTTATACTTAGTACCTTATTTTGTTGTTTTTCGTCCTTACACATGATAATCAAGTTTCCATCTCTCAGAGTCTTTGCACTATTTATTTCTCCTAACGCTTTGTTCAGAGATTTGGTCAGTTTAATCGGGTTTATCGTCATACCAGGTTCTGCAAATTTCATCATTACTTTGTATTCCTCTATATTTTTCCTACTCACGTGATCCTCCTTTCCACTATCCGTAAATGATCCTTGACTATTGTTTTTCTTTCTTTTCCGATTGACTACTTTCCACCCATCATTCAGAATACTACTTAATGAAAATTCTTTAACTCCTAAGGATTGTAATTCATCTTTAAGTCGATCCCTTTCTCTTTCATATGCTGTACATATCATCATAACGTGTTCCACTGAGTCCTCTGTTAAACAAACATTACATAGACCAGTATTATGTTTCCCTATAATGTATAGTGTTTGGTTAAGGTTTGAATGTCCTTTTCGTATATGTGTTAAAATGACTTGTTCCCTTCTACTTACAGTGGGTACGGAAAGTATTCAGACCCCCTTAAATTTTTCACTCTTTGTTATATTGCAGCCATTTGCTAAAATCATTTAAGTTAATTTTTTTTCCTCATTAATGTACACACAGCACCCCATATTGACAGAAAAACACAGAATTGTTGACATTTTTGCAAATTTATTAAAAAAGAAAAACTGAAAAATGCTCAGTATTTAGTAGAAGCACCCATTTGATCTAATACAGCCATGAGTCTTTTTGGGAAAGATCCAACAAGTTTTTCACACCTGGATTTGGCGATCCTCTGCCATTCCTCCTTGCAGATCCTCTCCAGTTCTGTCAGGTGGGATGGTAAACGTTGGTGGACAGCCATTTTTAGGTCTCTCCAGAGATGCTCAATTGGGTTTAAGTCAGGGATCTGGCTGGGCCATTCAAGAACAGTCACAGAGTCGTTGTGAAGCCACTCCTTCGTTATTTTAGCTGTGTGCTTAGGGTCATTGTCTTGTTGGAAGGTAAACCTTAGTTCCAGTCTGAGGTCCTGAGCACTCTGGAAACCTGAAATTCTGGAATGAAAAATGCAGCACCTGTCCTTCCAGTTTCTATGTTCTTTGATCCATCTGTGTAAATTTGGAGAAATGAATAATGCATACTTTTTATATATTCTTTAATATACGCTTTTAAATTAAACCCCTCCCCCATTCCCTTGATTTCTTTATGTACGTTTAAGTCATCTTCTGGTTGTTCTAATAACCAAGGTGCTATTGGAGGAGTTACTATTACCGATGCAAATTTATTTGATTCTATTCCAGTTTCATTGATCAATTTCTTAATTTTCCATGCAAATCCTTTACCTGGTTTATTTACTGTTTCCCAACTTTCATTAAGTACTTCTCTTACAGGATGATCCTCTCTTTGGCCCTGAAGATTAATCCAATATGCCATGGCTAGTTTTTCTCTTCTTAAATGTAGAGGCATTTCTGAGGACTCCACCTGTATTGCTGCAATTGGTGTCGTCTTAACTGCTCCACCAATCTTAGTTCTTTAGCTTGCATAATATCTAGTTTCTTTAATAACGTTGCAGAATTGATGCATCTTTTCCTGGCTTAGCTACTGGTATTATTATTGCATGTTTCCATGATCTTGGTATCCTCCCCTCTATCCATATCTTATTAAATAACTCCAGTACTACTTTAAGAATATTATCATCTGCATGTTTGATCATGTTATAACATATTTGATCTTTTCCTGGAGCTGATTGCCTAAATTGACCACTACTAGAGCTACCGTCATTTCCTGCCATCGTTCCCTGCTCCTCTTCTTCTTCTTCTTGCTTTACGGCGGATCGCAGACTTATTAGTGCATTACCGCCACCTATATCTCAAATGGACCATTGACACTTTATCTACAATCTCCTGATTAACCTACCAACCCACATACAAACACAACAAGGACCTAATTTTAATTTTGACATTTCACGAGGATTAAATAAATTATCGCAATCCCACTGTGCATCAAGCGCCTCCCGCCATTGTGTTGAATGCGCTCGACCACTAACGGAAACGTCAAAGGCACAAAGACGCCACTTCCTTAAACCGTAGCGTGCGCGCGTGTGTGTACAGGTTTTACAGTCTATCGTTTTTCTATACTGGCGGGGCCGGGGACTTAAACCTGAATGTACACACCAACTCATGGGGACTTGTGTCACCGTGGGGACCTAAATTGAGGTCCCCATGGGTACAGAAGCTTATAAATCATACAGAATGATTTTTTTTTTTGAGATTATAAAAATGCACAAAGTTTTCTGTGAGGGGTAGGTTTAGGTGTAGAAAATACAGTTTGTACAGTATAATTACGCCAATGGGAGTCCCCACAAGGACAGTGCACCAGACTGTGTGTGTGTGTGGAGGGGGAGGCGCAGGGACGCAATTGGTGCTCCGCCCTCTGTGTCTGCTCAGGTGTGCTTGTGTCAGAGGAGCATTGCGGAGCTGCAGGCAGAGCAGAGGAGAGACGGTCATGTCAGACAGCGTGAACGCACAGTCGCAGGACAGAGGATCCCACGGCGAGGACAGGACGAGCCGGGTGACAAGCCCGCGTGTGGGCAACAAAGTGACCGTGGTGCTCGGAGCGCAGTGGGGCGATGAAGGGAAAGGAAAGGTGGTGGACCTGCTGGCCCAGGACGCTGACATGGTCTGCAGATGTCAGGTTGGTTTATGAGGACTGTAGTGCTTGAATATGTGAATATATCTCCGGTGGGCTGTGTAGTTATGACGCGCTGTGTAACCTACATGATCCACAAGCTTGTTTGTAAGGAAATATTCATGGCTGATCAGAGAGTAGTGAATGCATGTTAAGTGCTGTGAATGCTTGTGAAGTATGTGATTATAGGACTTGTTTGCAGGCCAGTTCTTGGTAAGCAGTTAGCTGCGTATTATTAAGCGGAAACGGACGTTACAGCGCGCGCATCTACGCGCTTCCATTACAATCAACTACGCTGTCTGCACGCGAGCGACGTCGATTATAATGCAGCGTACTGGTTTAGCTTCGCTAGCAGTGTACGCTGTAGTGTGTTTGCAAATGTCACCTTGACTGAATTGTGTGATATTGAAGCCAGCGTGATGTTTGACCTAAGGCCAGCCCAGTGTAGCCTTAAATCTTACCAGATGTCATTTAGTACATCAGCTAATGTTGAAAGTATCCGGGATGTTTTGAAAAGGATGTAAACACGGGCGCAGGACTCCTTTGAAGTCTATGACGCCCGAAGGTGTTGTATTTATGAGTATTACAGTCAAACCAGATGTTGTAATTGTTAATAATTAAAATAATAGTTGATAATAGTACTGAACATTAACCTCCAGCTACTTGATTTTCCGCAGTTGTCTCATGTGCCCATGTGTTATAAATGTGTACAATCCTGCAGCTCACTGATTCTTCAGACGTGATGTCCTACAACTTTTAAAAAATTACATTTATACTTTCGACAATTGCTAGAATGTTTTTATAGATTGAACACACACACACACACACATTTTCAATTGTTAATGTGAGTTTTCTTGATATGTTTAGAATATTTAATATTCTCTAAAATATTTAATTGGCTAGATAAATAGCTCTTATTGATGAAAGTTTATAGTAAATCTTTAAAGGAATGCTTTTTGTGTTTTATTATATAAAATGCTCCAGGCAAAGTATATATTTTTGTATATACTTAAAAAAATACACATATATTGTTAAGCAGTTGTTCAGGGTACTAAATAAAGGTTTACTTAGTATATGGCTCCATGTGTCAACATCTCACACTGCATGTCAGAAAGAAACAGGTGTCCCTTTTTCAGCCTCATGGCTTTCAGACACTGCTGTGCTCTCACTTAACGTGTACTGTAAAACTGTTAGATATGATTAATATATGTATCATATATAACAAAAAGCATGACATATATGTCATGTTTTTCTTGAAACTCCCTAAGTAGGGTTAATGCTTCTATTCTATTCTATTCTATTCTATTAGACCTGCTGATTTTTAAATGTTTACACATATGTAACTATATAACATAATGTTTAGATTTGTCAAGAGATAACTTTTAGGGACAAATGGGGAAATGGCACCCGTGGTTGTGTTATGTTTTAGAGAGCAGTGATAGCAGGCTGCTTTACGCCTCCTGTCACTATGCATTGATAACAGGTTCACATTGCAAAGATTCTCTTCTAAGAAGTTTGCATTCTGCCAAGATTGTGACTGCATTCAAATAAGACACTTGGTGTTGCACTATGCAATGGATGGGACAGAAAGCAGATAGTGTTAGTCTTTTTATAAAAACACTGCACTCAGCAGTCTGACTGGTTTTCCTTACAGGCAGATGGAATGGAAAAAAGACCATCATGCTGTTCCATGTCACACCAATTTGATATGTCAGTCCAGAAATCAGATGATCTAACACAGTGCGACCTCTTTTTAAGATGCCCTTAAAATTTTATTTGCAGACTAACCTCTTTTTATTGCTTCTTCTCATGTCAGCCAATTTTGTGTGGTTTAATCTGTTTTATAGGTGAGATATTGGAAAAACAAATCAGTTTGCTTCACATTGTTGTAATAATCGTGTGCTTTTTGTGGCTTGCTTATTGTTTATGGTTTTTCAGGTATGTGAGCTTGTTAAATGTTTTAAGTTTGATATGGTCACACTTTCATAACTCGTTCAGAGTAATGCCTACAGATTTGTTATGACAACCAGGTGCTGTCGTCAGTCTAACCTGTTATACAGGAACGTACTGAGACCTTTGTGAGCTGTAACCGTCTAGAGGAGTGCAAATAGACATCCTTTAGTCAAGCTATACTTTTGGTATTACGTTTCTTTCTTGGTCTGCCACTGTAACACCAAGTCTGACAAGAATGAAAGGCCATCTGTTGCTCTTACAGATAAAGTCTGTAATTGGATAGATTTGCTATATTGACTTTGCAATTGACACAGTTTGCTTCAAATAATATATTATCTACTACTAAACCGTTGTAATTTAAGAGACTTAAAATATTTTGACCATTAATGTCAGGCATGTATAAATCCTTGGGGCCACTTGATAATTGAGTCTCTGTGGAAATCTCTTGACTGCAGTGTTGCAGTGGTCATGTTAACTGTGTAATGTGCAGCTGCTTGTTTATCAGTGAGTCCAAGTATGTTGCTTGCTGATAATTGTGCTGCCATTTTAAACACAGTGTTATTCAAGTCCCAAATGCTTTATTTGATAATATGAAGTATTGTATGATTACATCAGCTGATTTCTGTTTTTTTCTCAGTATTATTTTTTACACAAAGAAATGAATAGTAAGTTTGACATGTTTCAAGACTGAAGTCATAGACTAATTGTTTATTTTTTATTTTACATGGAGCAGGCCACCTCATGGGAGCTGACATGATCTGCTGAATAGTACTCACTTTACCTCCGTGCCCCCCTTATATACTAAATGAATTGGGGCTGACTGGGAATAATGCATTTTTACAAAGGCATTGGTGAATGAAAATTTAAGCTTTTTTTGCTGTATAGTCTATGACACAAAGAAATAAAGAAAAATGGGAGTGCATCTTTAATGACTGTTTTGCTGCAGAAACAGAAAGGTCATGCAAATTTAAAGCTTGAATTACAAACTTAGATAAGAAATTGAAATGAAAAAACAGTCGTGGAAATGTCTGTTTTTTTATCTAGTTATGCTCAGGTCTGAAACTGGTTGATTGGCTAGAACTAGCCCTTTGTGAGTGCAATTTCTAAAACCTTTAGAAAGTGGGAAACTTGTCTGACTTGGAATCTTTCTTTCATCATCCTAGAGAGGTTTGAGTGCCTCTGTCCTTTCTTGTAAACTTGATACATGCTTATAAATGCAAATAAAATAGTAAATACGAAAGTTTTTTTTTCTCATGCATACTCTTGCTCTCATTCACAAATGTGCACACACTTTTTATTCTGAAAAACCTAACCAGATAGAACATCACAACATTATCTCGCCACACAAAACAATATTTAATCAATCTGGTTCATCTAATTGGTTTGGTACTTTTTCAGCTACATTTTTAATGCTGATGAACTGCCTGGTGTGTCATTGTGGGTAATAAAGTGGTAACTTTGCTAGTAATCCCTGTATTATTTCCTCAACCCCTTGTTCCTTTTCAAACAGACGGTGGAGCAGATCACTCAGTCTAGCCACTTTTAGCATGCCAGGTTTGGAACACTGGACGCCATCCAACACGGCCTAAAACCCCAGACACAGTCATGAGAGCAAATGTGACAAACATCATATGAAAGAAATGTTCCAGGTTATTGACTCAAAATATGACTCGGGTTTTTCTCTGATGCAAACTAAATGTATTTTCCCTAGAACCCACATCTTATAAAACTAAATGCAGTATCAATTCAAATTAGCTTTAAAGTTAACATGAAATCGAAATTGACCCTATATACTTATCTCAATACAATGTGCACTGATTAATTGTCCAAAATATTCCAAAGAAAAAAACAAACAAATATTTGTGTTGATATTAACTTTTTTTTAATATTTCACAATCCATTCTGTTCCCAATAGAGTAATCTTTTTGTCATTGAAAGTTTGTTCTCTTTAAGTGTATAAATTAAAAGAAACAAAATGAAACCTGTTTTATTACCCTTTTCACAGTTCAGAACAAATTAATAATTTAGTAGTATGTACAATCTATACATTCTATATTCTTAAATGTAAATGTGTGATATCCCACAGATTATTTGAAGGTGGACCACCAATTGTGTGAAATGAAACCACATTACATGAAGCCAATACATCCCAAGTTTCTGAAGTGTCAGCATGCTGCTAAGAACAATGTGATGTATAAGTTTAAAGAAAAAAAAAAAAAAACTCCCAGGCTGGGCCCTTTGAATCAAATCATCCTTGTAATAGGAGCCTATAATAGTAATGCTAAGTGCCTCCAGCAACGCTTTTGGTCACCATGGGTATGAGAACATCGTAAATTGATCTAAAAAGGAGAGGCATCCACACACACTATTAAACTGGTCAAAGTAGACCTGTCCTGAAATAGCTCTGCCCTGGTCCTTGCCGGATTAAAGACTGATTTATTGAACACACTTTGTGAGAACTCCCTCAGATGTGACATGAGGTCAGAACTGATTGACGCCATGTTGAATTCGGACACATGAGAGGACTCTTAATTATTCTTGAGGATGGTAACAGTTGGCGGGCCAAGTGTGCTCCATAATCTATGGTTTCCCTGCTCTTTGGTCACGTGTCAACAAGGAAGGAATCAAGTTGGCATTCTTTATGTAATTTTACAGCTTAAAGGAATGATAAATAAAATGAAAATGGAACAAATGGAACTAGGCAGAACTGAAATATGTTCATGCCTCACCCTTTGTACATTCATTTATAAGGTTAATTTCATTGTGCTTTAAGCCACAAATAAGAATGCAGTCATTTTAGCTCCGTTTAATGCATTTTACCATGTTAAAGTCTATTCTGAAGGATACAACAAATTTCCCCACAAGGATTCCACTTGGATTCCTACTTGTATCTTGTATAATTGAACAATAGAGCTGTTCTCACATTAAATCCACACCTAACAACCAAAATCAGTGTTGTTTACATGCTTCAAATTTTCCATTTCACAACTGCATGTCAAAGCATGTCTGTACTATAACATAGTAATGCTTAGGATAGTTCACCCAAAACGTACGTACTTCTGTAGAATGCAAAAGATGATATCTGAGGTCCAAACAACATTGGAACATTGGAGGCATTTATCAAAACATCTTTTATGTTCCACAGAAGTCAGTCAGTCATCATTTTTTGGACGACATGGGTAAGACAGAATTTTTGGTGTGAACTTTACTAGATTTGTATGGTATCTTCTCAAGGATTGAAAAGTCTTTGTGTTTCTTCTCTCCTGTAGGGAGGCAACAATGCAGGACACACGGTCGTGGTTGATTCAGTGGAATATGACTTCCACCTTCTACCCAGTGGGATTATCAACCCTAAGGTCACTGCCTTCATTGGTGAGTATGTCTAATTCCCTCTCTCCATTTGGATAGTGTCTTATATGAGTTGTGCACATTCTCATGCAACCAGTACAGCATCTTCTAGTAGTCCGTGCTTTGAAAACAACACCACAGCTTCCTGTTAGAGTGTTTGGATGTTGGCCAGCAAATCCAGACTAATATAGCTGAGTGCAATCTATGCACTTTATTTGCAAAGATCCAATTTTGCTAATGGTCATTACTGAGTTTTGGCCTTCTGATTCATATATCAGCACTGTAGATTAGTATGATGTATTGGAAATGCTTGATGTTCATAGTACATTAGATTGTACAGCTTTCAGAAATCTGTGTTGCAGGGTTTGAGAGTTGATTTGAGTGATTTTAAAGATTCTTCTTCAATATTACACCCCTTTCTATCCATTCCAACACCTGGAATGACACATTTGGGCTTTTCAGACTTTAAATTGGTAAATCTTTACCTCTTGCTCCATTTATTTCAGCACACTTTTACTTTACTTTACTTTTAGTCATTTAGCAGACGCTTTTATCCAAAGCGACTTACAAATAAGAAAAAGTAATTAAAACTAAAAGCTAAAACTCTTGTCCATCTGTGGTATTGTCACAACTGAAACTGATCACAGCGTGACTCAAGAAACAAGTTTCTGTGACTGTACAAAGTGCATGAATATTAATGAGTTTGTGATTGGTTGTCTGTAGCTAAACAACTCACTGTAACATTCTAACACCACATTATTTAAGACTTCAGGGTTAAAACTGGCCTTTAAAGGTTGTAAAGATTAAGTTTTCTCAGGGTTAAAGCCCTGAATTGGACAGTGATGACTGACAGCTCCTCATTTGATTGCAGGTAATGGTGTAGTTATTCACCTGCCGGGTCTCTTCGAGGAGGCTGAGAAGAATATGCGGAAAGGAAAAGGTTTGTTTAACTGTTTGTGCCCTTGGGCTGTATGATTGAGTTTCAGTGAGCATTGGTAGGGGTCTAACAGTGAGTTTGCTTGCAGGTCTGGAAGGCTGGGAGAACAGGCTCATCATCTCTGACCGGGCACACATCGGTAGGCTGATGGCTCCCATGGCATATAAACACCATCATATGCCAAAATTACATTCACAGCTGCAAACACAGCAAAATTTGGCTTTACAGGGGTGTAAACAAAGTTAATTTGATTGTAATTCTTTACTAAGTGATTATTTTGGATTCACGGTTATTTTTAAACATATGCTGAATACACTTACACTGCCATTCAAAAGTTTGCGGTCAGTTTTTCTCTTAATTTGTTTGAACAAAAATACAGTAAAACAGTATATTGTGAAATATTATTACAATTTAAAATCATTTTAATATATTAAATAGTATAATTTATTCCTGTGATGGCAAAGCTGAATTTTCAGCAGCCATTACTTATATTCTGATTTGCTGCTCATGAAACATTCTTATTATTATTGAAAATGGTTGTGCTTCTTAATATTTTTGTGGAAAGTGTGAGATATTATTTCAGTATACTTTGATGAATAGAATGTTCAAAAGGACAGCATTTATTTGAAATAGAAATTTTAACATAAGAAAAAATAGAAATAGAAACATTATAAATGTCTTTACTGTCAGTTTTGATCAATTTAATGCATCCTTGCTGAATAAAAGTATTCATTTAATTAAAAAAAACTATTGATTTTTTATTTATGGAATGTATGATAGATTTCTGAAAACCTCCCTTTGACTCCATATTTATCAAAAAGATTCATACTGAGTGTCATGACAACGGCAAAGCAACTCTATTTACACGGAATGTAAGCCTAAAACTAAATCTTTAACTTCTTTTGATGCCTTGCAAGCACTGCTATTTCCTTCAGGAACTGCAAATCTAGCTGTCAATAATAGCTCAATATCCATAATATTAGTATCAAATTAATGTGTTGAAATGTTCTTTGATGCATCAATGCATTTTTACCCCTCTGTTTTAAAAAAAATTTTTTTATGTTTTGCTTTTGAGATTTGAAGTAGGCAGATACTGCTCTCAAATGTCATATAATCAAAGAGTCCTTTAAAATTAATAATGGTATGTGTTTGAATTATTATGCCTGTAGTCTATTGTTGTAATTCTAGATTCTCAGCAGGAGCCGTTATAATGAAAGGACACAGGATCAATTGTAGTCAACCCAAGTGTTGTTATGGTGACCTGCTTTGGCATGTTGGGTTCAGAGCTCAGACAGATGAGTTGTCTCACTGTAATGTATACACTCTCCTGCCTCTAGTGTTTGATTTCCATCAAGCTGTGGATGGAGTCCAGGAACAGGAGAGGCAACAGCGAGCTGGCAAAAAGTAAAAACCCTGCTTTATGCACACTCATACAACACGCTAGCAACATGTTATGACACGAGTTCATAACAAAAGAAAAAATGCTTTGAGAGATGAACTTTAGTCATGCGGCTTTTCTAACCACTCTGGTTGATCTTAGTAATTGACTGTTTAGTGCAGGGGTGTCCAAACTTTTCCTAAAGAGGTCCGGATTCGACGATGTGGAAACACTGGGGGGCCGGATGCTTCTACCTATATTTAAAATTCATCCACGGGCCGTAGTTTGGACACCCCTGGTTTAGTGTGTATTTTGTCAGTTGCTTTATAACTGACAAATGCGATGGTCTGGACTTGGAGGGTAGATACAGTCCTTTTGGTCCCAAGTTCTTGAAATGTGAAATAACTTATATATAAATATAAATAATTATGCAAATATGCAAAAAGAAATATTTTATTATAAATATAAAAAAATGAAGTATTATATATAATATTGGCTAAGTCTGGCATTAAATTTAAAAAGCTAAAGTTCAGATGAATATTTCATAGTCCATCTCACATTTAAAACATTAGGTTAAATTAAAATGTAGAGTACAAATAAATGATTATGTACAGTGGGTACGGAAAGTATTCAGACCCCCTTAAATTTTTCACTCTTTGTTATATTGCAGCCATTTGCTAAAATCAATGATTAATTCAATGGCTTTTAGATGTTCAAAAGCTTGGGGTCTGTCAGTTTTTTTTAAAATTTTTTAAAATGTTTTTGAAAATAGTCTCTTATGTTCACCAAGAGGGCGTTTATTTGATTATAAATACAGTGAAAACAGTAATAGTTTGAAATGTTTTTACAGTTTAAAATAAGTATGTTCTATTTAAATGTATTATAAATGTCATTTATTCCTGTGGTGCAAAGCTGAATTTTCAGCATCATTACTCCAGTCTTCAGTGTCACAGGAGGAAATCATTTTAATATGCTGATTTGCTGAAGAAACATTTATTATTATCGGTGAAGAAAATTATGTTATCAGTATTAATAATGAAGTTGTCTTAAAGTTGTGCTCTTTAAAGGGGTCATATGATGCTTTTTTAAAGATCATTATTTTGTGTATTTGGTGTAACAGAATATGTTGACATGCTTTAATGTTCAAAAAACACATTATTTTTCAAATACTGTACATTATTGTAGGTCCTCTATGCCCCACCTCTCTCAAACGCTTCGTTTTCTACAAAGCCCCCTCCTTAATGAGCCGTTTTAGGGGGGCGTGGCAGAGTCTTAACTTTGATAAAGAATATCTCTTTGGTTTTGAGACTTTAGTCTTTGCAACTTCAGGGATCTTATCTATGCACAATCAGCTTGTAACACTCCAAAGAGAAAGGAAAACTTGAAATCGCATCATATGACCCCTTTAATATCTTTCTGAAAACATACATTTTTCAGGATTCTTTAATGAATAAAAAGTTCAAAAGAGCAGCATTTTTAAATATAAATCTTTTGTAACATTATAAATTTCTTTACTGTCACTTTTTATCAGTTTAAAGCATCCTTGTTGATTAAAAAAAAGTGTATATAAACTAAATTACACTTAATTTTGTACAATATTGTATGTAACAGAGGGTCACTTCTCTATGTCTATATCCACTTAGGGGTCCCTGAAAAAGGTTGCAGACCCCTGTATTAAAGCATACCCATAAATCCAACATGGAAAAAAAAGTATCTAATGCATGTGAATATCACTCACGAGTCTCGCCTTCTTTCTGTTTCACCACCTAGTTTAGGAACAACTAAAAAAGGAATCGGCCCTGTGTACTCAGCCAAAGCAGCTCGCAGTGGCCTGAGGATATGTGACCTTCTGGCTGACTTTCAGGAGTTCTCAGAGAGGTCAGGGTCTGCTTACCTGTTCAAATGAGCTTGACAACTCAACTATTTGACCCATTCATGTCACATTCAATAGAGTGTGTTAAACTTCACCTTCTGTAAAAACACTTAATCCAGTTCTTAATCCGACAGAAACAATGGAAGAGCAAATGATCACGCTACTCGTCTATCACAGTGTCAACTGAGCAGTCTCATGTCTCTTTTCACAGATTTAAACATTTGGCCTCGCAGTATAAGTCTATGTACCCTTCACTGGAGATTGATGTGGATGGGGAACTTGAGAAACTCAAGGTGACAAGCTTAGATGTCACACCAGTTCACACCAGTTAATACCGTAGGTTAGGTTTACAAGATTTTATAAGACTCGGAAAAGAGTCAGATTTATAGTAAAGGAGGTAAAGATGCACAACATATCTGTTCTTTTTAAAAAACTTTTTAATGCATTTAATTACTGTATTCATAACAATAATATCAAATGTGCAACACAGACAACAAGGGTTACCGCACTTTCTGACAGTGATTGTTTTTTCAGACGTATATAGACAGAATAAAGTCCATGGTGAGAGATGGAGTCTTCTTTATGTATGAGGCGCTACACGGCCCTCCAAAAAAGATTCTAGTGGAAGGTGCCAATGCTGCCTTGCTGGACATTGACTTTGGTGAGTAATGGATACACTGAAACACATAGTACATACCATTCCCTGACCACGTGTAACATAAGATTATGCAATGTGCTAACCAGCTGATTCCCATTTGTGAACTTCTGGGAAAGTCCTCCCATGTAGTTAAATCCTGTGAAGTATCAACAACAATAAGTCTATTAGTCAATAATACAGTCTCACACATTCTACATTCTCTATTATTTTATTTATTCTTCATGTTAAAAAATATTGTAGTTTCTACTATTTCTTTATGTTTATATGATTTATGAATTGAAAGAAGTGTATTTAAAAAAATACATTTACATTGATAGATGTAGATGCTTATTACTCTACATAATAAAAATAACATTGTCATTACATTCTCTACAGCTTTACTAACACTTCAGTCCCTTTTTTATTTTATTTGTTCAATTAAATGTATTCATTTAAATGTTCTTAATATATTTCATCATTTGATTTTTTTTTTACATTTTGTTTTAGTTCATTATAATACATTTAACTTTGCTTGAATTTATTCTTAACTATGTAAAACATGTCAGTTCCTAATAATTTTATTTTTATGGTTATGTTATGTGATTTTAAGCAGTGTTGTGCACCTCTAACATTTTACAAATAATTATAGGGGTTGACAGATGCAAAGGTCTATTATTGTACAAAATGAAAATAGCACTGACATTGCCTAAAGCTTCGCTAACACTTCGCTAGCATGCAGCGCTGATGTGACGCTTTTGTTTAGGGACATATCCGTTTGTGACTTCCTCAAACTGCACTGTGGGAGGGGTGTGTACGGGTCTGGGCATGCCGCCGCAGAACGTGGGGGAAGTCTATGGAGTTGTCAAAGCCTACACCACGAGGGTTGGGATTGGAGCTTTCCCTGCAGAACAGAACAACGTAAGCAGCTGCTTAACTTCCTCTTTTGTTTCCGCATTGTTTGGATGAGCTCTCGCTACTGTTTATATTTCGAATGTTTTGGCAGTAATGACCCTGACTTTATTCGAGCACGATTATTGTTATGGATAGATTTGAACAGGAAAAATGAGGCTGAAGGAACAGAGCAGTCGGTAATCTGTCACGCTACATGACAATGAATATATTATGTGTGAGACATTTATGATTTCCTATTCATGATGTGCTTTTCAGTGACTTAATAAATAATGGCAGGGTTCCCACAGTCAAGGAAATCCCGGAAATAGGATTCTACAATGGAAATTAATAAATTTCTGGGATAGACATGAAGTCTAAATGGTCTAGTTTTCAGGGTTTTTTTTTCTATCTGGTTAAAATGTATGGTCACGCTTGTACATAGCAGTACATTTTAATCAAATGTCTTTAATAATAATTAAAAAAAAGTTAGGTACAGTGTACTTAGTGTTTCCATTTTGCATTGCAAAACACTTGCTGTTATTGAGGTGGGATAAGGTTAAGGTTAGGGACAGGTTTTGTGGTATGGTTAGGTTTAAGGGTAGGTTAAGGGGTCAACAGTGTGATTATAGATAGAAATGTTATAGAATTTCTGTAATATTAATTAAATATTGCAGAAATTAATTGCAGAATTACTGCAGGTATTTTAATTATAAATACATTATAAAAACATGTATGTAGACAATAAGTGCATTGTATCATATCATTATTTTAAATGTCAGTACATATTATATTAAAACACATCATATAAAGTGGGTCCAAATATATTTCTTCAACTAGAAATTGTTCTTACACTTTGAGTTCAGTTTTAAAATGGCTCCATCTAGTGGGAAGAATGTTTTTTAGGCAAGACAATAGTTTTGTAGACTTCATAATTCAAACTGTCAAATAATTCTGCCAATATAGTAGACCATATAGCTCTTATTATATCATATAGATCATATTGTTTTTTTTTTTTAAGTTTATTAAATAGGGATGGTACACATTAATAAACTTTACTGTAAATAAACCAGGTGAGTCTATTTTTCTAAATATTTTCTATATATTTGTTACACAGTCATTCCTAAAATTATTACAATTATAAAAAAAGCTTGACTGTTTAAACGTATTTTACCTGTACACATAAATACACAAAGTCATTAAATGTTGCACTTTATTCATACTGTACTTATGCATAGGAACTTGGAGAGCTCTTGCAGTCGAGAGGCAAGGAAGTGGGCGTGACCACAGGTCGCAAAAGGAGATGTGGTTGGCTGGATCTGATGCTTATCAAATACGCCCACATGATTAATGGCTTCACAGCGTGAGTGTTCAAATAATCTCCTTTGGTTTCTGTATCTGTGTTCTATAAAGTACTGTTTTCTTATATGCATCCTTCTATATGTCTGTTTAGCATAGCTCTCACCAAACTTGACATCTTAGATGTGCTTCCTGAGATCAAAGTTGGTGTGGCATACAAAGTAGATGGTGAAATCATCCCACATTTTCCAGGTAAGCAGCACATTTCCCATATCACATGTAGATTTAATAAAATCTAGTGTAGTTAAATATCAGACATGTTTCCCAGCAAACCAAGAGGTGTTACAGAAGGTTGAAGTGCAGTACGAGACTCTGCCAGGCTGGAAAACAGACACATCTGCTGCCAGGATCTTTGATGAGCTTCCAGAAAATGCACAGAAATATGTCTGCTACATCGAAGATCACTTGGGTGTGCCTGGTAAGACTTTAAAGGGATATAGTAGTTCTTCCAAAAATGAAAATTCTGTCATTTACTCACCTTCATATCGCTCCAAAAACTTGTATGACTTTCTTTCTGCTGTGGAATGTAAAAGAAGATGTATTGAAGAATGTGGGCAACCAAAAAGATTTGGTTAGCATTGACATCCAAATGGACAAAAATATGGAACAAAAAATAACATGGGAAGTCAATGGTAACCAAAAAGTTTGTTTACCAAAATTTTTCAAAATATCTTATGTGTTTAGCAGAAGATAGAAGGTCATACAGGTTTGGAATGACATGAAGGTGAGAGTAGACTATCACTTTAACTCAGTTGTTCATGTAAGTCTTAGATTGTTTAAAATGCAGTGGGGTTGTTTTACTACAGTGATCCTAATGACTTCTTCCGTCTTTGCTTTAGTGAAGTGGATTGGTGTTGGGAAGTCACGGGAATCAATGATCCAGCTCTTTTAAGAGGCTGCTTGGCCTGCATGTAGCACTGGCTGGATTACGCTCTGGACTCGGGGACGGATAGTTGCCTCATATGTTTCCTCTCCCACCTCACTTCAGTTTCTCCATGGCAAGAACATCATTTTGTGTCACTCAGATCATCGTACAGCCCTTTGAAATGGAGTATTTGTCATATATAATAGCACTCCTATGGTAAATCAAAAAGGGCTTTTCAACTAGTTACTTTTTGGAATCATTTAACGGTTTCTCATCTGCTCCAGCTTGAGTCCATATGCTGTACATGTGCTACTACTTCAAACAGTCAGGCATCAGTAGTGATGTATATTGTTGTTAGATATCAGTTTTTCACACAGATTGGGTAAAACGATTACTTATACATGTTATGTTTAATGTTCTTTGTTTCTTTTATCATACAAGAATCAACGGTTATGCAATGTGTACTACCACACTTTCTCCTTGTTTTAAATGGACTGTATAATTGACTTACTCAAGTCAACTTCATTTAAACGTACGGTTTTTAAAAGAAAATTTAAATGTTTATTTGACAGGTGCATAAATGTGAATCACTCAACTCATGTGATTCAAGATTCAGTGATTCTGAATAAGAATTATGTACAATACACCCTCAAAATGTAATATGATTACAGTGGGTGTTTTCTGCTTTCCAAAAATAGGAATAAAATATTTTTTGAAAGCGACTTTAAATTTAAATCTATTTAATTCGCTCCAAAAACTAGTATATAATAAACATAAGTATAATGTGCCTCAAGAAGCATGTACTATTATACAGGCCGGGGTTTTGATTCCACTGAATGTATGTAAATGTTTGCACAGTCCTCAGATGTTTATTGTTCAACTGTACAACTTTATGCCACAAGCATATTAAAGCCACTTTAATGATCAGTAATGAGATATCAGTAAACATGCCTTTCAATATAGATTGTCAAAATATAGATCCTTAAGACAATTATGTGAATTCAGACGCCACCTCAGGACGCACGACTCCGTCTAGCCAGTAAAACGCACTGATGTTTGAACTTCTGTGGTTGCCAGCGACTGCAGGAGGCCGTCTGCTTTTCTGACCTTCAGTAGTACATTTACAGATCCTTTAAATGTTAGAGATGATCTGAACAGAGCTGGTCTATTTAAATATGACTGGGTTGTTTCAGAAACCCAGATTTGCTTCTTCTGTTTTGTCTCACCCTCAGTACTGCGCCTTCCAGTAAATAAGTAATATAGGATAAAGTGTGCCTTGTTAATACAGATGAACAATGAAACTTGAAAACGAATTCTTCGTCTGATTGCGCTTTTATGGATTTTAATTGATAAACCTCTTTTAGTTTTCGAGGGCATTATTGTCATTGCCGTTTGCCAAAAGTGCTCATGCATCCAAAGAATTATCTTAATGGACAAGTGACTGCTGTGATATAAAGAGCCTTTGTAAATGACCCAGAATGATAACTCTTTGTTTTTCAGATTGATGACGGTGTGATGCGTTGCATTTTCTGTTGCTCACAGCTGCTGAATAAATGATGTAACCTGTTTGTTTGTTTGTTTAGTAACATCTATTACACATCAGTTATCTTGTATTAACACATTTCCGCTGAACAAATTAAATATAGCTCTATTATTAAAGTTCAAGAATAGGGCAGTTGAAACATTCAAACAGCAGTAGCCTATGTTTGCACAAACACAACTTTTTCTGTTTAAGAAATCCTTTACTGTTTCTGTGTTGTATTGCTGCTGATTGGGTTTTCGTGTATGTATATACAGAACACAAAGCCATATTCTCTTGAATTTACAGTTACTGTACACTTTGCTGGTGATAGATACTGATGGGTGTGCATGATCATCTAGTGGAATTTGCACCAAATCTCACTCTATTTATCTTGGATTAATGGCAGACAACTGCCACGACAATCCCATCAATAAAGTAATATAGTGAGAAACTTTCATTTTTGTGTCTGTTCATTTTTAGCAGTAGTTTGTGCCATTGTTTGTCATCGATAACGGGACAGGTACGCTGAAACTGCCCTCGTCTTGGAAATACGAGGTTCTACAACACGCCACCAGGGGGAGACATTTACTTTGAAAAAGACGTTGAACGGTCGGTGACATTTCCAGCTTTTAAGAGCTCCGTAATTACGTTTGACAATAACTTCTGATAGTACACAATTACTCTCAGATGATAATAACATGTTTCTTGTATTCCCCCCCGTATTTCTACGGTGAGTTTAGATGTTAGGCTTATTGGTGAATGTGATCATATGCGCCTACACAATTACTCTCAGATGATAATAACATTATGTTTCTTGTATTCCCCCCCGTATTTCTACGGTGAGTTTAGATGTTAGGCTTATTGGTGAATGTGATCATATGCATGGCCTAGTTGAGGTTAAATTTAACTGTAAGGCTAGGAACTAATTAAAAACATACACAAACGTTTTATTAACACAAAAAAATAGGTTACTTTTAAATAAAGGAAAGTGTTTTTCCCTATGTTTTATATCTTTTACAGTTAGCTTTTAGCATTTTGCAGGTCACTTAAATATCTCAATGTGACATGAATCTGTAGCTTGTGTTGTGAGAGTTGTGGAATGATATATCATCAAACTTAATGATAAAACTTAATAACAAGCAAAACTGTTGAATGTGGTGGAACTGACACCTGTGTGATAGCTGCAATTGGTGTAAAAAAATTCACAAAATAAACACTGAAATTATGTTTATTTCACTCTTTGCTTGGATTATAATAGTTTTTATATGATTTAGGGATAGTCACGCAATTTGTTTTTAATATTCTCACTTCATATTAGTACTATTTATACTGCTGTAGAAAGTTCTGGTCATGTATGAATGAAAACTGTAGCCTACAGATCATTAAAGTTGTATCACTGAAGAAATTGGAATAGAATGTTTTGCTTTCACAACCAGATCTATATGTTAGAGGTTTGTGTGTTGGCTTGTTTGGCTGGTGAAGGTGCCTGGATATAAATGTACACATATGTGCGATGTAGTAGGAGGTGACGACTGTGGTGAGAATGATGAGATCTCTCATACTGTACACTCTGGAGACTGAAGGAGTCTTCCTGCTCTCATTACAAATTCACTGCATTCGTTTCTATAAACCATATCAGCTTAACCTGATTACGATTTAGATCTTATTATTGATGCTGACTATATCATTGGTGTTAAGTTTTGATATAATAATTTAAATTATTTAGATTTAGTGTTTTATCATTTCATTTGATCACTTTTTATTGTTATTGTTAATATGTGCATTGTAACGTCAAAATAATTGATACTTTTTTTTTTTCTATTTTCTTGTGGAAAGCACTCCAATGATAAGCCTTGGATTTAAAAAAGAACGAAAGATCTTCTGCATAAAAAGAAAATAGCTTTTCAGATGGGAGAATCACAAAAAGTTTGAGAGATTAATAAGATAGTGAGAGCTGAAATACAGAAGGATAGGTTAAAATGTAAAGATAAGGTGGAAGAGCAGCTGAATGGGGGAAAAAATTAAGATCAGCATGGCAGGGGGTCAAAACCTTGGCAGGTATTGAGAAGAAGGATACCAAGATAATCAGATCGGATGGTTTTAACTCAGATATGCATTTTACTGATAAACGAGTATTATTATTTAAGGTTTGATAACCATGATTTTAGTGCAGAAATCAAAGATCGAACACTTAGTAATTTTGAAAATATTGAATTAAATGTCTTTCAGAATATTATGTCAAGACAATCCAGGGCCTGATAGCATAGGAGGCAATGTGATAAGGACCTGTACAAAAAGTCCCCAAAATATGGGAGAAATCATTAAGCCATTAAGCCACATTTGTTAATAGAGAAATTAATATCTCAGTTTAATATTGACTTAAATGTTGCAGGATGCATCTTAGATTTTTTTAACAGAAAGGTCACAGTGTGTTAAAAATGTTATTTCATATATTCCACGGGTTCACCTCAAGGTTGTTGTTTGTTACCCGTGTTATATATTATGTACACAAATTATTGTCATGTTTCATATGAGGACAGGCATATAATCAAATATGCAGATGACTCCATTATAGTGAGTCTTCTCCAGGAACAGGATCGAGGGCACAGTCCTGTAGCAAATTCTTCCTTCAATTAAACACCTTCAATTAAATGTGGAAAAAAACAAGGATATGTTAATTGATTTTGGAAGATCAACATTAAGTCCAGGGTTGACGAATATAAATGGAGTGGATATTGAAATGATTGACGATCATAAATATCTTAGTAATTGATGACAAACTAAGTTTTGAAGCAAATGTATCAGTTGTTTGTAAGAAAATTCAGCAAAGAATGTGTCTTTTATTGAATCAGTGTTCTCTTTCTGTATTGTCGCCTGGTTTGGTAGTCTTACATTGTCAAATAGGAATAGGTTGAATAGTCTTGTCAAAGTGGCAGGAAAAGTTATTGGAATGAGTCAAAGTTAACCCATTGAAATTGATCATACACAGGTTTTAACCAAGGCACACTCAATTTTAAGGAATTTGGATCATCCACTAAAGAATTTCAGCGGTTGCCTTCAAGGCGTCGGTTTAGAGTACCTGGTGGAAGAACAAAACGTTTTAAGGGTTTCTTTCTTTCAGTGGCTATTGGTTTGATGAATTCTTCATTTGATTGGTGAGATATGTTTTATTATGGTTGTATTGTCTGTAGATTATGTATTGTCTGTATGTGTTGTGACATACTGCTGCAAATCTAGTTTCCCCTAAAGGGGAACAATAAAGGTAAACAAACAAACAATAATCTTTGTTTTACAACTTCAAAAAAAATTTGTTTGCTGTGAAGGGAAAAAAAGTCTTTGCAAACTATGCAAACTATTGTTTATAGATTTTGAATAGGAAAATAATTTTGTTTACAGAAAAACTGTAGTTTCTTGTCATTTGTAGATTCATTACACTATGAAAAAAAATACTTCTACTGAAAGGTTCTTTAGGGAACCAAAAATGAACAATAGAATGACAGAATGACAGACAGACAGACAGACAGATAGATAGATAGATAGATAGATAGACAGATAGATAGATAGATAGATAGATAGATAGATAGACAGATAGATAGATGTGAGATCTGAAGTTTGCTTCAGAAGTGTGTTAATGTCCTTCAGACCCCTCACAGAGTATGTGTGTGTGTGTGTGTGTGTGTGTCATGAATTTAAATGTCTTTGCAGTTCTTCCTCTTGTCACAGCTGACTCATTACACAACACAGCTCTGAACCTTTCACGAAACACCGCACACAAACACACTGCCACACAAAGGGCTCCATTCTGGCCTGATGGTGTGCTGAGTGTGTGAAGAGGTCAGGGGAGGGCCAGATCAGTGTGTGTGTGTCTGTGCATTAGTGGCTTTGACACACTCATTAGAGCAGATGTGCTGCTGCTGCTGCTGCAGTGGCGGCTGCCACTTCCTCCTCCTGGCTTGTGAACCCGGGCAGCTGTTGAGCAAAGGGCCAACGTCTGCCTGATCCCTGACCTCAGCTCCACCCCAGCCCCCAGCTCCAACGGGGGCAGGGCCAGGGGCCGCCAGATGGGGGCTGGCTGTGTGTGCAGGGGGTGTTTATGAGTTTAGAGTACTGGCTGTTGCTTTTTGGGGGGAAACTTGTGGAGTTTGTGTTTGTATATGGGGCATAAGGGCTGGCTGGGGGTTGGGTTTTGGAGGGAGGTTATAGACGCAACACATGGCTCAGAAAAACATTAGCCGAGAGGGGTGTCCGAAGTGTTTCAGAGGAGTGGCGTGCAGCCATTTGTCGACATCGTTTAAGACAGGAAGTACTTTTTCTATTAGAATTATGAGTGCAGTGCAATTCAAATTCAAGTTTAACTGACAGCACTTGTGGCATAATGGTGATTACTACAAAAATTTGGATTTCAATTCGTCCCTCCTTTTCTTTAAAAAAAAAAAAATAGAAAAACTTTGGGGTAGGATAAGAAGTGAATTCACAAAAACAATAAAATAACCGCAGTTTTATTAGTTCAGCCTCCTGATGTAAAAAGCTTACTCACCTACTTTATATGAGTAAAGTTATATACACATTTCAAATCCATTTTCATGACAATGTACTGCCTAAAACCCTAAAACGACAATATAAAACTTAAATAATACACAAGTTTTAACAGAAGAATTAATGTAAGTGCTTTTATAAAATTATAACCTTCACATTTTTCACTTTTAAATGCTCCAAAAATTGGCCCGATTTACTTCCATTCTTAGTGGCTCACTGTAACTGTAGATAGACAGATAGATAGATAGATAGACAGACAGCCAGACAGCCAGACAAACAGCCAGCCAGCCAGACAGACAGACAGACAGACAGACAGATAGATAGATAGATAGATAGATAGATAGATAGATAGACAGACAGACAGACAGCCAGACAGCCAGACAAACAGCCAGCCAGCCAGACAGACAGACAGACAGACAGACAGATAGATAGATAGATAGATAGATAGATAGATTTAAAAAATAATAAATAAATACATACATACATACATAAATCAGGGACGAGTGAATA